TGTCCTTTTGGTTTAGGGTCTCAGGATTTAAAATATGCCTCTCTTACACTCTATACTTCATGGGCCCCAATTCCTCAGTTTACCAATCATCAGAGGAATCCCAAAGGCCCATTTCTTCATACATTCTTCGAGGATAATGAATTCATGCACTTCCGTGGCTACAGTGATTGCACCTGTACTCATGGCTCCCACACACACATCTCCAGCCCTGCCCTCTTGCCCCTTGCCTCTTCCTCTATGTTCTGCCTGTTCATCCTTAAAGGCTCAGCTCAATTGCTGTCTACTCTATTAACACTTCTCCAAGGATCCCAGTTGACAGTACCTATCCCTTCTCTGAGCTACCCTTGCTTTTAGAGACACTGTTTGTTTGGTTCTGTTCTTAACTGTACAGAATTTCTCAAACTTTTGTATGGTCAATTGGCTCCTAAAAACCTGGGAAATGGCTTGTTAAAATGAAGGTTCTAGGAAAAAGACAAATAATCCTATTAAAAATGGGCAAAGGAAATGAACAGACACTTCACCAAAGAAGACAGTCAAGCGGCCAACAGACACATGAGGAAATGCTCACATTCACTAACCATTAGAGAAATGCAAATTAAAACCACAATGAGATACTATCTCACCCCGGCATTACTGGCACGAATCAAAAATACTGGAAATAACAAATGTTGGAAAGTCTGCGGGGAGATTTGAACTCTTATGCACTGCTGGTGGGAATGCAAAATGATACAACCGTTTTGGAAAATGATATGGCACTTCCTTACAAAGCTAGAAATAGAAATACCATACTATCCAGCAATTCCACTTCTAGGAATATATCCTAGAGAAATAAGAGCTGTCACACCAATAGACATATGCACACCCATGTTCATGGCAGCATTGTTCACAATAGCAAAAAGATGGAAACAACTTAGATGCCCATCAACAGATGAATGGATAAACAAACTATGGTACATACACACAATGGAGTCTTATGCGATGATAAAAAAAATGATGCATCTGTGAAGCACCTGATAACCCGGATGAAACTGGAGGACATTATGCTGAGTGAAATAAGTCAATCACAAAAGGACAAATATTGTATGAGACCACTACCATAAAAACTCATGAAAAAGTTTACACACAAAAAGTAACAATCTTTGTTGGTTACGAGGGATGGGAGGGGTGGGGTGGAAATACTAATAGACAATAGATAAGTGGTA